ACCCCCACCTCCACCACAGGTGTGTTCTTCTGCCACACATGCACACAGATACTCTCAGCATTTTCAGAAACAAGCAGCTCTGCAGCCAGCCCTGAACTGTTTATTAACAGGGAAACGCCAGAACTAGGGATGTGGAAAGGGAGAGAATGTTTGAAAACAAAGCAGGACGAGCTACAGCACAACATTCAAGGAAGAGCTGTCACCAATTCTACTCAAATTATTCCAGAATATAGAGGAGGGTGGAAAACTTCCTAATACATTCTATGAAGCAAGCATAACCCCCATGCAAAACCAGGGAAGGACATCGCTAAGAAAAAAAAAATTATAGACCAATATCCTTCATGAACATAGATGCAAAAAAATCTCAACAAAATCCTAGCCAACAGAATCCAGCAGCACATCAAAAAGATAATACATCATCATCAAGTGGGATTCATATCAGAGATGCAAGGATGGTTCAACATTAGAAAAATGCTCAGCATAATCCACTACATAAATAAGAAAAAAGAAAAGAACCACATGATCATATCGATTGATGCAGAAAAGGCATTTCACAAAATTCAACAACTATTCCTGATAAACACACTCAACAAAGTAGGAACTGAAGGGAAATTCCTCAACTTAATTAAAAGCATATATACAAAACCAACACCCTACATTACTCTCAATGGGGCAGAGCAAACAGGAACCAGACAAGGATGCCCTTTGTCACCACTCCTATTCAGGAAGTCTTAGCAAGAGCTATATGGCAAGACAGGGAAATTAAAGGCATCCAAATTGGCAAAGAGGACGTAAAATTCTGTTTGCAAACAATATGATTATATACACAGAAAACACAAAAGACTTAGTAAAAAAGCTACTAGACTTCATTGGAAGATTCAGCAAACTGGCAGGAAATAAAATCAACATACAAAAATCAGTTGGATTCCTCTATATCAATAATGACAGCACTGAAAAAGACATAGGAAAGCAATACCATTTACAATAGCCACCCAAAGGATAAAATAGCTAGGAATAAATGTAACCAGAGAAAAAAAGGACTTATACAAAGAAAATTACAAAACACTACTACAAGAAACCAAAAGAGACCTACAGAAATGGAAGAATGTACCATGCTCCTGGATAGGAACACTTAAATTGTGAAAATGTCAATACTGCCCAAAGCAATTTACACATACAATGCAATCCCAATCCAGATTCCAACGACTGTCTTCAAAGAGATGGAAAAAAACAATTTAAAACTTTATATGCAAAGGAAAGATACCCAGTATAAGCAAAGCACTGCGTAAGAAGAAGAATAAGGTTGAAAACCTCTCACTCCCTGACTTCAAAATTTATTACACAGCTACAGTGGTCAAAACTGCTTGGTACTGGTACAATGAAAGATACATTGATCAATGGAACAGAATCGAGACTCCAGAAAGTAACCCATCCACATATAGCCAACTGATTTCCAACAAAGTACCTAAATATATCACATGGGGAGGGGATAGTCTTTTCAACAGATGGTGCTGGCAGAACTGGAAAGCAACATGCAAAAGATTGAAATAAGATTTTTACTTCATGCTTTATACAAAAACCAACTCAGCATGGATTAGAGACCTAAATGTGAATCCCAGAATTATGAAGGTCATCAATGAAAAAGAAGGGACAAATGTGAAGGCTCTGATTCAGGGCATACACAGACTACCAACATTTTGAAAACTACACAAACAAAGGTAGACAAAATAGATGACTGGGAAATTCTAAAAATTTAAAGCTTATGTGCATCAGAAGACTTCAACAAAAAGGGAACCCACAGAAAGGGAAAAAATCTTTTGCAGCAACACATCAGACAAGGGACTCATTTCTATAATATATAGGAAACTACAACAAGTCTACAAAAAAAAAGACAAATAACCCAATTTTAAAATGGGCACAGGACATGACTAGACACTTCACCAAGGAGGAGATGTGGGAAGCCAACAAACATATGAAGAAATGGTCACGATCACTAGCCATTAGAGAGATGCACATCAAACCAACAATGAGCTATCATCTCACATCAGAAATAATAGCAAAGCTCCAAAAAGTAGAGAACAATAAATGCTGACGAGGATGCGGAGAGACTGGGACACTCCTGCATTGCTGGTGGGATTGCAAAATGGTCCAACCACTCTGGAAAGCAATATGGCGCTTCCTCAGAAGGTTGAAAATAGAAATACCTTATGATCCAGCAATTCCTCTACTTGGTATTTACTCACAAGAAACGTGAGCCATAACACGAGTAGATATATGTACATCAATGTTCATAGCAGCACTATTTACAATAGCAAAAAGATGGAGACAGGCTAAGTGCCCATCAACTGAAGAACAGATAAACTGTGGTACATACACACAATGGAATATTATGCTACCTTGAAGAATAACAAGGAAGCTGCAAGCCACTGCATAACATGGATGAACCTGGAGGACATTATATTGAGTGAAATTAGTCAGTCACAAAAGGAGAAACACTGCATAGGACCACTGTTGGAAAACACTAAGAAAAATGACTCATACTAAAGGGGGAGATTCTTTTCTGGTTACTGGGATGTGGGGGGTGGGGGGGTGGCAAGGAAAGGGAGGTGAAAGTAGAGCACAGGGTAGGGAATAGGCACAGGATAGTTTGAGTGCTGGGAGGGGGGCAATACACAAGAAAGGGAAGGGAAATGGAAGAACAAGGAGGATGGGAGAACAGTTAAGCAGGTTTGCATGGGCTAAGTAGGACAGAGGTAAATAATGATGTATGCACAACCTTGGATCAACAAGAATCTGGGATACAGGGATTGAGACATGGTTGGAAAGAGCAAAGGGGGAAAACAATGTTAAGAAGCTAGGCTGTCTTTTGAATCTTGGTTTCCCTTGCACACCATTATAAAATAGACACTTGAGAGGGAGAAAAAGAATAGCCAGAAATATCACCACAGAATGTAAGTCTGTCTTCTGCCTATAACTAATTGGAATACCTAAAATGGGGCTACAACGTGCCTGTGAAAGAGGCTTCCTGTGGAGCCTCTGCATTACATAAGAACATAGGTGGAATCCTGAACCCCATCCAGAATCTTCTGAGGTGTGAAATTCCCACTGGAAAGGACAAGCAGACCAGCCTGGAGTGGCTAGAAGAACAGAAGATACTTCTTGAAAGACAGATCGACAGGAAAAATATAAAACAATAACGGCAGTCCAACTGATTACCACAAGAATAAGCAAGTTGCTCGCCCAGGAGACATCAAGGCAAGTGGTTGGGTCCCCTCAGAAAAACCACCTTCCAAGACTAAGACTCAATGGGAACACACACTCTGATTGGTGACCATGTTCGTCACCGATAAAGGGAAGTGAGGGAAAAACAGCAATGAAGCTGTGAGTTAAGCCCTACAACGTTCAATAGACTCCTGAGAACCCGGTTGGAGACCTGGTTGGCCAGCAGTGTGGCAAGGCCTGAGGACTCTTGGGCCCAGAGTCAGTGACACAGCCACAGAGGATTAGAGTGGAGAGTGAAGCAACCAGCTGATAAGAAGAGAGGGCATATTCACAAGAACATCCACACTTGCAGATAATACCTACTTGACCTGGCTTCAATGACTGAATGATCAGAGCTCAACTAGAAGAAGAAAGAAGAGGAAAAAGGAGTAATCTGATACAGTTTGATGAACTTGACCTACACCTATGGATGCAGTAGCTCAAAAGAAGGAACAAATCCTTATAGCTAGAATCATTCCCACCCCTTCCACACACAGAGTACACAGGGATGGGCAACTTGGATATTGGCTACCCAAAATGGGGGGGAGGGGAAGGGGCTACAAAGGCAAGAAGTGATTGGCTTACAAACTTTCAAGAGGGGAACCTAGATCCAGAGGGCCTGGAGGAAGGTAGAATCTCTAGTGAGTAGTATCCAAT